TTCTCCCTATTACTAATGATTCTGAAATTGTAGAGGAAAACCAAGCCAAAGAACAAGAACTAGTTGAAGAACTTCAACATCAAATCGATGCATTACGTATTCGTATTCCAATATCAGTTAATAACTAGCTGAATCCTGAAGGTGAATAGGAGGTGCACTAGCAGTTTACTGATGAAGACTTTGTTCAAGGTGCTACAGAAATAGAGCAAGAGGAAGAAGAAGAGGTAGAGATCATAGAACCAACTCTAACTGCAAAAGAAAAGTTGGCTATTTTGCGTGATGCATTAAAAATTGTTACTGAGATGGTTGATGATGATCACATATCACCTTTCTTTGTTCATTAGTTAAATTGCCTATGTTTTTTGTATATGATAAATGCGAATACTGTTGATAGAGAAACTTACAAAAAAAAAGCAGAGTAAAAGAAATTTTTATACTGATTTAATTCTTTATTAATTTTATTTATTAAATATATTTTAGCAAAATACTTTACATCTAATCTAATTTTCTGATGATGGCTAATTCACTTGGTTATATACGGGAAGTATTTTATTTATTTTTATTTTTAATTTTTTACTTCTGAGCATTTAACGTTTCTTTAACTAAATATACTACCAAATTTATGTGCATTGACACAGCCTTGACACGACTCTTTTCAACTTCATTGCTTTTATTTTTGTTCAAAGAAAACTAGCAGTTCAATCTTGAGCCAATTCCAGCATCAGGGTTTTCAGTAATAACTTACCATGGCAAATTACCAGTAAGTTACCATAGTAAGTTATTGGTAGTTACCGTTTTGAAACTTGCCGCAAGATTAGAAATTGCAATCCTGTTAAAAACTGGTTAGGTTCAAGTCATATAATAGCTTGGATCTGTGGCTTAAAGCTAAGACTTGACTTGATCCAAATCAGTTTCCAACTGTTGTTGATGCTAATTTTATTTACATATTTACATATTTTTATATTTCATTATTCATATTAAAATGTATATTCTATACAAAATTAAATAAAATACACAGTTAATTCAAGATAGATAAGGCTTTTTTATAGATCGATTTCTATCTAATTACCATCAGAAAATCAAGTAATAAACTGTTGACTTGTAAATACATAACTGATATTCCTAGAAGCTATTCAGAAATTTTACTTGCATAGAAAATCTGCTTTTTATTTGTTAAAAGCTATCAAGCCTACAAAAAAAAGACTGGAGTAAAAAATTAGAGCAGGGATTCTAGCACGGATGTTAATAGTTTAGATTAGAGATGCAGGCGAATCGTCCCAATGATTATTGTAACTAATTATGACATAAGCTTTAACTAGTTATTGCTTACTTAAGCTATGGCATCATTGAGATGATTCTCTTGCATCTCTAGTATAGATCAATTGTCTTTTTTTTATATGGAGCCAGTGACTGATCTCATGAAAAAAAATCTAATTGGTTTGAATTACTAACACCCTTATGCTTTTGTTAATTTATGTCTAATGTATCAGATTTTCCTTGGTCACAAGAAAATAAAGGTTCTCTCATTTAACTTTAACTGATCTATAAGCAAAACGATCCATAATAAATTGGATCAGTACAGTAAACATAGTGTATATTGATTCAAATTTTCTGTATATATAAAGTGCATATAAATTTTTTTGTGCTTGAATTTGATAGTAATAATTTTTTTTTACTTGTGTTATTCGAATAAGTTTGGTAACTAGCCAATCATCTTTCTTGTATATTACATGACATGACATTCATCGAATTTTGGATTTTTTTCAAATCTGATACCTTCTTAAAACCAATATAAAACCTTTCTACCATGCATACCGGTTTTGACAGGGTATATTGTAATATATAAATCATTTTATGATTAGACTGTTAAGTAACTTAACAATTAATATATGAAGCATTTTATAAGAAAATTGTTAAATGACTTAAGATTGATACATGAAATTGTTTTATAAATATATTGTTAAGTGACTTAATGATTGACACTTTTATAAATAGATCGTTAAATAACTTAACGATTGATATATGAAATTGTTTTTGTAAGTAGACTGTTAAGTAACTTAACGATTAATACATGAATCATTTTATAAATAGACTGTTAAGTAACTTAACAATTGAAATATAAAGCATTTTTATAAAAAGACCATTAAGTGACTTAATGATTGACACATAAATTATTTATAATTAGACCGTTAAGTAACTTAATGATTAATACATAAAACATTTTATAAATAAACTGTCAAGTGACTTAATGATTGATATATGAAATTGGTTTATAAATAAACTATTAAGTAACTTAACAATTGACACTTTTATAAATAGACCATAAAATTGTTTTTCTAAGTAAACTGTTTAGTAACTTAACAATTAACACATAAATCATTGTCGCAGCTGATGCTGAAAACGGCTGATGCTGAAATTCGGATCTATTTTGATATGAATTTTTTAAAATTTTTTG